TTATGCCTTTGTAAGTTTGTATAAATCTCTGAATATTTTAAAAGAACAATTGGAATTTATTTATGAAGATGTAATATTTCTTAGTTTTTAAAAAATTTAAAGCAAGTTCACAAAAATAACTATCACAACTAAAATATCAACTATTTGAGCACTTAGTACAGTGCATATTGTGCACAAAGAGCATAATCTTGTTATTTCCAAACATTTCAACCTGCAATCAGGTGGGCGTTAAACGGGAAATTAAAACCGAAACTACCGGTTTTTTGCGTATGGTTTTTCGGTGCTGAAAAAAGTACCGGAAGAACCGAATTTTTCGGTTAACCGCACAGCTCTAAAGCATATAAAAATTTCTCTTCTTTGTAAATAGCTACATTGCACTTAACCCAGATTGTAAAATATAGTTAGTTTTCACAGATCATGACATTTAGATGACATTTTTTCGACTCTAAAATACTGCAGTACGTTTGCACTTTCTGCATTTAAAATAAAGCATCTACACACATAAAAACGCGCAATTAAGTTGTTGCGGATCTGCAAACAAGTTGTAATAAATTGTTCCCAGTTGTTATAACAAGTTGTTATCACCTTAATTGTTACAAGGTTGATGACGGTAACATGCAGTCACTAACAGACTTGCTACAAGTTGTTCCAACAAAACTAATACAGGCTGTTCGCAACAAGTTGCTACAAGGTTGTTTTCATCAACTTGTTAACAACTTATTACGTGCAGACTATATCAGACTTGTTGGAACAACTTCTTTCGAGTTTGTTGGCCTCATCAAGACATCAACCTTGTTACAAGATGATACCAACTTGCTCCAGACTTGGGAACAAGCAGTGCGAACACATCTTGTTGACGATCTATAATATTTGACGCGTGTACCAGCTTATCACCAATTTAACTAGCCGTCACTTGACCCTCAAATCGATTGGCTTGCTAACTGAAATCTTCAAATGCTCATTATTACAAACATTGAAGAGCATGCGAGGTTAGAATTTGCGACTGATCATCAGTAGATGCAAACGACGGTAAATAGTTTCGTGCGTGCGTGATATTTCGTGTTCAATTTCATTCTTCCGTGCACATTCTTTCGTGCACACTGAAATTATTTAAATTCAAAAAATTTCATTTCCAAAACTATTTGCAAATTAATTGTGTAAACAATCACATTTTATTAAAATACGTGTCGATTGCTATTTTTAATACTCTTTTATTTATCATGGATAAACTACGGGCAAACGTTTACAAATTGGAAAAGATGTTATGAACGAAAACGTGATTTTTTATACTGTGTTTCAATACTCTTCCGTGCGGAGTGCGTGCTATTAAATTTTGACTTGGCTTTTATGAGTTTTTCGCGGCGAATATGGGATGTATCTTTTGCGAGCGAAAGCTGGTGTTTTCATGTATTAGTAAATCGTAATGTCCAGAATACGAACAGATTTAAAACCGACGGTAAAAGGGCTGAAATCGTCAACTTCGCTTACAAAGGCAAAGGGTGACAGTGCTACCAAATTACCCCCGGTGTCACCCCGGTGTGTGTCGGCCAG